AAACCCCAAACCCCGAACCTTGAACCCATTCCGACTTGATAGCTCCAAGCTGCAAGTGTGGTGGAGAATTCGTTTAGACGCTCCCAAAGAGCATCTTACATTTGTGGCATAAGCCGTTCTTGCCGAGGAAGCCGACCTGGAGATCGAGATCGTGCCCTGATCACGCCCATGATATCCCATGATCCTTTAGGGTATCGGGTTTGGGGTTTAAGGGTGGTGGATAAAACTTGGGAGTTGTAGTGCCTCGGGAGTTTAGGGTTTTGGGACCAGTTTCTATATCCAGCCCCCAACACCTCTCTGATCTGGGGTTGTTGCTCTGTAAACTACTTGTTCTCGAAATAGGGGCTATTTGGGATACCTTTCATAGGAGTGCTGAAGGGTCCCTTGTTGTTCCAGGGACCTCAGCATCGAGTGACGGTATGCCGAAGCCTCATGCGCCTGGCGCTTTACGGCCGGGAGGGTGTAGGGTTCAGCAGGGCTTTGGGTTCTTTCGGGTTTTGGGGTTTAAGGCCATGGAAACTGCCTGCTCTGGAAAGCTTGGGATGTCTTCTGGAACCCTAAACCCTAAACCCGAAACCCTAAACCCTAAACCCCTTAACCCTAAACCCTAAACCCTAAACTGTTTTAAATCCCAAGCCCATCCGCTTGTTCCGCAACCCCCGAGCCGAAGCTGCTGCTGGACTCCAGACCGACGAAGCACGGTCATATAGGAGCCGAAATAAGTACCTGTAGTTTTTTGGGGGTTCCTTATTACAATAATCTTATAATGGGCCCCAAAACCCTATTCGAATTATTAAGGCTCTTATATTATCTCTCTGGAATTCGTAAACCCTAAACCCTGAACGTCCAGGTACGGCGCGACAAAGCCAAGGCGGCCACGGAGAAGGAGCTTCTCACAGCACCCTGGCCACAGTACTACTATACCGTATTCTCTTGTGCTTAAGGGCCCTATGGAACTCTACGGCCACTTGGGGCTTTATTCTCGGTTTAAGCCCTTCACTTGTCTGCTGAGTTATATCATAAGTTACATCCTGAAGCCCGGTGACTGTCGAGCCACCTTTGGGGACAACACGCTAAAATCCTAAGTCCTAAACCCCAAGCTCTAAACGCCAAATCTTATTTGCGGCTTGCCCTAAACCCTAAAGCCTAAACCCTAAACCCTAGATCCTAAACCCTAAACCCGAAACGCTAAATCCTAAATCCTAAGCCCTAAACCCTTGGCTGACTGCTCGTACTACGACTGCTAGCCTGCTTTCAGCACCCCCATGCCTTGGCCCTAAAGCCCCCAAACCCCAAACCCTGAACTCTAACTTTAGGGCAATGGGTTCAGGGTTCAGGGTTGAGGGCTTAGGGTTTAGGGCTTAGGGTTTAGGGCTTTGGGTTTGAACTTTGGGTTTAGGGTTTAGGGTTTAGGGTTGAACTCTAACCCCAAAGGCCAAACCCTCAAGCCTGAACTCTACTCCCTGATGCCTCAGCCCATGACCCCAAACCTGAACCCTAAACCCCAAACCCCAAACGACCCCCAGACACCAAACCCTAAACCCTGAACCCTGAACCCTAAACCCTAAACCCTGAACCCTGAGCCCCAAACCCTAAACCCTAAACCCTGAACCCCAATCCCTAAACCCTGAACCCTAAACCCTAAACCCAAAACCCCCAAACCCTGAGCCCCAAACCCTAAGCCAAGCCTTCAGGGTGCACGATGCTCAAGCCCTGGAGCTCCCTACAACATGTCCCTTCAAGGAGCCCTTATAGGTACCTTAAAGGAGCCCTTAAAGGAACCCTAATGGGATACCTTAAAGGACCCTGACAAAGCCAGATTTTTTCACAAGGGCTTTTGTCAGGGTATATTTACATAGGAAAGTTTGAGCTATAGGGTTTAGGGTTTAGGGTTCAGGGTTCAGGGTTTAGGGTTTAGGGTTAATTCGTCCTACTGTCCCGGTCTGGTCCCTGATGAATTATACAGTTATACAACTGCAATATCCTCCCCCGACAAGCTCTAGCTCTTAAGCCCTAAACCCCTAAACCCTAAATCCCTAAAGGAACCCTTAAAGGAACCCTTGTAGGAACCCTTAAAGGAACCCTTGAAGGAACCCTTATAGTAATCCTTATAGGAACCGTTATCGGAACCCTTTTAAGATACCTTGGGTTTTCTGTTTAGGGTTCAGGGTTTAGGTTTTTTCGCAAAGAAACCCCCAAACCCTAAATCCCTAAAGCAACCCTTGAAGGAACCCTTAAAGGAACCCTTGTAGGATACCTTAAAGGAACCCTTAAAGGAGCCCTTATAGGATACCTTAAAGGAACCCTTAAAGGACCCCTTATGGGATACCTCAAAGGAACCTTAAAGGAACCCTTGTAGGATACCTTTAGAAGCCAGGGTTTCCGAGTTTTTCGGTTTCGGCGCAAAGAAACCCCTAAACAATAAATCCCTAAAGGAACCCCTAAAGGAACCTAAACCCTAAACCCTAAACCCTAAACCCTTAAAATCGGGGTTTAGGTTTCGGCGCAAAGGTACGAGCACAGTTCGACAAAGCCCGAGTCACCTGGGAGAGCAAGGAGCGGGAGCTCGAGGCATGGTCTCCCCGCCTTTTCAGTTGGGTTCAGTGTTTAGGGTTTAGGGTTTAGGGTTTAGTTGGGTTTAGGG